GAATCGCCTCCACTTCTTCTTCCTCTTCTGGGGAAAATGAAGGTAAAAATATCATGATATCCTCACGGGTAAATGGTGGGCGAAAATTCTTTTGAGCTCGGCAACTAAATAAAGGATCGTGCGGTGATACTTGAGTTCAATCTATTTGAACTTGTCGGACTTTAAAGTGTTTTAACACATTTGAGCAATTGAGGAAAACGACACATCTCAGACGCCCTGTGGAAAGGGTAAGGTCATAAATGGAATTTATCGATTCTTTACAGTAGGCTGACTGTTTAAGCAGGTTTTCCTGAACAATTAATTTATAATCTACCACATGAGTACTAGACAATTTGAATTAATAAGTGTTTTGGCAGAGTTGGATGACCCAGCTGACTGCTCAACCGTGAAAAACTCGACGGGTTTCGGCAATGTTGTAAAAAAACTGTTGGGGCCACCAACCTACTGCATCAGTGGTGGGTTCTGCAGGTTACAGAAGTTGGAAAGTGTAATTTAATTCAACTGTGATTATGCTGGAGGTGCTTACTAGGAGCCACGTAGTACAGGTGGTTAAACCCTCTCGATGCACTGAAGACTGAAAATAACAAAACTGTACAATTGCCAGAACTTTGGGGGAGTGACCATCAAGCTCGCGACATTAAAGCCCCGAAAAATATATGGGCAAAAAATACGAGGCTGGGCGCAGGCGATTTCGGGACTGAGCTAAATAAGATTCTACCCAACTCACCATTTTCACAGAGGCATGTGAGAAGGCCAAGACTACTGCAGAAGGGAGCACACACACCATTCTCGCAGTGACCGTGCTCATGACAACGAGTCGACGATGAGGGTGAGGGTCCAGGACAGGTAGGTGCCTCTCCGTCACAGACACCGGGCTTCAGACAGGTGGTAATAGCGCTCGTCTCAGCACACAATGTCCCCCTCGGCGCTATCTGACAATCTATAGAAAAAATGCAAACGGTGACAGTGAACCGTCAGACTTCAAACTGAAACTGACAGACTAATGTGTTCAAAGAATCAACTATGGACTGTAGTTGGATTTCGAGTCCGCCATGTGGGTGCACGTAACGTGACATGTCAGGTGTATTCAAGCTGGAAATAATCAGCAACTTCACAGAAGACTCCCTGCAAAGCTCCTAAGGCTAAGAAACTGTGAGTACATAAAAGTTGCCTAACATCAATCATTGTCATCGTGGGAAGGGTGACTTTGGCTAAATCGCTTCGAATTTTATAACAACCATATTCAAAATCAAGATGAGGTGTCCGAGTCTGCAAGTGCACCTTTGGTCGGTGGATTTCGAGTCAACGCAAGAGCATCATAAAAGATTTCTTAACCCTCCCTTTTGGGAGGATCAGGAGAAAGTAGAAGAATCAGCTTATAAACTGGATCTTTACCGTTGGTGCAGCATTTGTGGTTCAAGGGCGAACATTGGGCGCTGGCCCTCAGCTTGCACGAGGTCGTACAGCAGTTGGATGTCACGGATCGACCGGGATCGCACTCCTCACCCGGATCCAGTCTAGAGTTTCCACACTGGTTCAACGGAATACCAACTTCCTCCTCGAAACACAGTGGCGCCTTAGAGAGGATAACTTTGCTCATCGCCCGACGGCTACAGGGCGAGAAAAGCTGGAAGCAAAATAGGGACGGAGATAAATTTGAGAAAATAAAAATTGACTATGACTTGAGTTTTTAACATAAGGGATCCTTCAGTCACTACAGAGACCATCTTTGTTGAGAGAAGTATCAAAACTCGCTATGGATGTGGACGAACAGGCGAGGTTTTACGCGCTATAGGGATCTTGATCGTAGATCAAGTTGGTCGGAGTAAAGCGAACGGAGGTACGATGAAAGAACGTTGCAAACAGTGATACGTAAAAGCGCCTTTTGATGTTGATAGTTTACATTATTCCTTTAGACTACGCTAAACATCCCCTCGTGGAATTAGGTTTTGTTGAATTTTGCTGTCGCTGAACCCTGCCAATCTAATCCTAGGACTTCTGCGCCGCATTCTTTCCCCGTGCTATTTTTGTCACCCTTTGAGTTAACACAAATCGAAGTTTTCTAGCGAATCCAGAGTAGCGTGACTGTCGTGGCCAGTAAAGGCTCAAAATACTGGAAAGGAAAAACAGAAATGGAGACTTACATAGTTGTTGGGAGAGTAGCCAGGGACTGCGTAGGTATACATTAGGAACTTGCCACCCTCCGCAGCCGACGGACTGCATTCTGCGGTGTTGGGGTCGTGCGGAGCACCGAGGGAGTGGCCCAACTCGTGCGCGGTTACCAGTTCGGCAAGACTACTTAATACCTGTGTGCCGTCCGAATCGGAGAAGGACGTGAAACCGGTGTTGGCGGCTAGTATTTCAGAATCCGCAACACCTAGGAAGGGGGAGAAGTCGACAGTTAGAACTTCACTAAATGAAATGAGCTCCTGCTTTTGGCCTACCCATAAGACACTGGGTAACAGACTTGTCGTAAGAACGGTTTGTATGGCCACCTAAACATGACAAGTGGACAGGAACGGCCCGCCCACTAAACTGTGACCTTAATCTTAACCCTAGCCCTACTCCACACCTAAACCCTGCAGCTAACACAAACCCAAGTCCTAGCTCTTAACACAATTCTGACCCTAACCCCCAATCTAACTCTAAAATTAAACCCTTATCCTCACCTTAACCATAAACTTAATTTCCCCGGAATTTGGCGCAAAGGCACATGTACTGTGGGCCTCACCGGGACAGGTTTATTGAAATGCTGATATTTCAGACATATTGGTCGGTTCCTCATTGTAAAACTGTTAGATGCAGTTAATTGAACAGAAATGGAAGTAGAGTGCTGTAGTCTACTTGTCGGCGTCGTACTGATAGCATTCTGTCCGTTCGCTGCCTCGATTCTTGCAAGGATTTTTAGCGGGCATTTTAGCTGCATGTGTTGTGATTCACCACGCCGATGTGGAGTGGTTGAGCCTCCGCCAGTTTTGTTCAGGTTGGCGGCTCTTTATTTTCGTGGTCAGACTGAGTTTGCATAGCTTTCTTAATTTCTGTGTTACCGTCTTGTCTTGAGCTTTGTGTACGTAATGAAGTAAGATTTTACAAGCTGCAGGAAGGTGAAGATGCCTGTTGCTGGAATGAACATCTAAATATCATGCCTATGCTTTTAGCTGTTCCGTCTTTCCGTTGGCCCGGACTAAGGTAGTAGGTCTCTGAAGAGCAAACAAATAGCTAGATTCTCCAAAGTGCGCTGCAAGTTGACAGTTTCGACATAACCTCTGAGTTTCCTATTTTTGGTCCGGTAAGCCGGTCTGCAATTTCCGCCCTGTTTCCCTATCACTACAACTTATTTTGCAGAAAACTACTGAAGTTTTAGTGGACGGCGACCGTGACGATTTGTTGTCTTGGGTCGATGGCTTATGCCTACCCTTGTGGAGTGTAACCGGCGAAACCGCCTCAAAACCTCTTTTAAGATGGCGAATGGCCCTCCAGACTTCAGTTTGCTGTCCCCTTGACCTTCGTCTGTTTGTTTGGCTCTTGCTGACTATTTTCCTGAAATATTCACTTAACACTTTGACAATGAGGAGCCCAGCACGCTCCCTGAGAAGTCAGCATTTCAATAAACTTGGTCCGGTGAGCCTTCCCAATTTCTTAAATTATTAGCCCGGTTATCTCAACTTTGTCAAACAGAAAAATTGACCTGTACCACAAACCTCGTGATGACGAGGGTTGCCAAAGGGAGCCGCGGTAGCTAGTGCGTAAATGTTCTAACATTGAGGAGAACTTGGAAAGCATCGATCTCGGTCACTTCCCAGACCCACTGTGTCCCAATAGTAGACTGAATCGGGAATACTTGAGCTATATCTGACCGGAATGGCAGACCAGGCATAAAACTCCCATATATTTAAGCATGCCTCGATATTAGCAATAGTTCTCCTATAAGCAAACTAAGCAATACATGAATCCATAGGTCCGGGTGACATCAGTCAACCACCTCAGTCTAGGTGGCGGGTCAGTCGCAGCGGTTTCTGGATGTACCTGATCGAGGCCACAGATGTCAACTCGAAGCCAGGCAGACTCCGAGTGAAATCAAAATCTCGTGCAGTGAAGCGTTCGTGGAGCTATCGGGTCCTTGTAGTGATAAGCCTTCACTAGGCACTTCTAACACAGCCTATTGTAAAATACATGGGAAGAACCGAGAACGCTTGGTGGAACCTGGACAAGCACGACTGGCCACTGTTGAAGACTACACCGTAAAAACTTTGTGAGAAAATAAAGCCAAATGGTGAATGCCAATAACAGGGAAGACTTACTGGGAGGGGAGCAAATTCCACCGAGGTGCTGCAAGGCCGGACTGGCCATCCAAGACATGCCCAGGACGCCGAAGAGATTCGGTGAATAGGTAAACAGATGGGTGAGACAGGCCTGGCCCATGGACCTTTGACTAAAAGTCTGCAGCAAAGAAGTAAATAGATCTGATAAGACAAAAGAAATGAGAGAGTTGGCAAAGTACGGCGAAATAAATG